CTTGCTGGCTGGGGAATTCTGGGAGTTGAAATCCACGCCTCTTAAAGTTGCCAAGGTTGAGAAGCACTGGACTAGATTATGTGGTTGCTGTTCCTTTCATAAAGTTGCCTTCATATTTTGCTTTCTCATAGGCATCTTGGGGTATCCTTCCCCAATCTAACACCCTCCTGATGTGTTGCAACTCTGATAATTCCCAATATGACTTGTAGTTTTACATACCTAGCTGGACATGATGGGAATTTTGGTATGATGCATCTTTAGGGGTGACAGGTTTGAGAAGTTTATTATCGGGGAGTGTGCTGATTTGTTTCCCTAATTTACCATGGCAGTGTGCAGATACCGTGAGTGCAGTTGGGTGTTCCATTTCCAGATGGTAAATTCCCAAACATCTGAGGATAGGCGCTGCTTTGTTTTTAGTTGTTTTGAGATCTGGCATATTTCTTGCAGTTCCATTCCTGAAAGTCACTTACATTCAACTGAAGGTGGGATTCTCTTGTGCCTCTTCTTCCTCATCACCATCAGTTTCATGATTGGCCCACTTCTTTTAAGAGAGAAAGAGAGGGAATAGTAATAATATTTTATTAAATGTATATGCCACCTGACTCCCAGCTACTCTGGAAGAATAAGTCAATGCTAAAGAGGTGGAAGAAAGAGAAGAAGAGAAAAAAATTCCAAAAGCAAACATGCATCTTTTTAAAATACTTAATGTAATGGTCGTAAGTGATGGCTAGGTCCTCTTTTTTTTTTCTTTCAATAAAGTTTTGTGCTGTTTTATTCTGTTGTGAATAGAACATACTCTTTGGAAGAGACTATTGTATGTTGATCTGCAGTGGGTCTGCTTCTGAATGTTGTAAAGATTAAATGATCTACAGCAGCTGTTCTGGCTAGGAATTATGGGACCTGTGGATTAACATATTTGGAAGACACTGTGCTGGGAAAGACTAATCTATGAATTTTTGTGTTTTCTCTATGATATTAATTGTTATTAGATAACCAAATGTACAGTAAAGTTTTTATTATGGAAGCAAAACTGATTATCACCATAACCTCTATAGTAGATCATGTTTTCATTGAATCATTACCAGCACTTTATAACTACACTTATTCTTTGTCCTATCTCTGAAAAGAAGAACAATGGGGTAGCTACTTGCAGACAAAATAGAATCACATGTCCCCATTGGTATTTTTGGTGAAAACTCTGAGTACCAGTTCAGCTGGCATCATGGATAACAGGTGTTATGGCTGTGCATCCAAGTTTACTGTCTTCAAGAAAAAGGCAAGTTTTTCATCACTAAACTCAGTGTCAGCACTGCAGGCACTGAACTTGATAAATCTGTGTTGAGAAAAACGTGATCTTATGCAGTAGAATGTGAAATTCTCTTCTGGTATAGTGCACCCAGATTTCATGCTTCAGATTCATGCTTCTTTTGGTTCATGTAGCCAATTTTAGTTATTTTAATATTTTCAGTTATTTTAATATTTTAAATTGTATTTGTTTTTATGGATTTTTTGGTTCTGTATGCCACCCAGTGTCTGTTGGAGTCGGGCAGCTATAACAGATTTGAATAAATAAGTGTTGGATGCTAAGCAAGTCTCTGCCTTTCAGTTTTAGTTACTGTTTGATTTTGTTTTTCTATAATAAAATAACTGATAAGGGATCTTTCCTTAAAAGGTCCCAGGAAATGGTTCTCCTTTCACTTTGAAGTGAAGAATGATCTGTCTATTTTGATGCACAATGAGTGGAGAATTTGCATACACTCCTAAAAAAAAAAGAAGAATAAAATAGATTGCATGAAATACAATGATAAACACATACATTAATGCTGAAATATTCAGGCCTTTGCAGAGAAAATGTTGATGCTGGCCTATGATTCCATGTCATCTATTTATATTATATGGATGAAAATAACACATTTTGAGAAATGTTTGGAAGCATGTTAGTGCTTTTAAGAAGTTCTCCAATAAATATCAATGTTTTATCTATCAGTGTACCACTGATGATGTTTTATCAATCTTAAAACTGGGTGGGAGGGACTCACCAATGGGGGGGTAGTAATTTAAATAATAGCATATGATACCAGCTTCTTCATGGTGAAAATATGAAGAGACTTCTCCCCAAAATGTCTAAGTCTTTAGGAATTTTTGAGTAGCTAATTATCACTATGGTGTATGCTATGGCACCTGAACTCGTTTCCTCTATTGTTTGTTTACTCTTTGTATTGCTGTTTGCTTGTTTTGATTGTCAGCTGTTTTAATATTTCTTCCCATGACTTGTTTAAAAAAATGATAGGGTATAAACAGAATAAAATAAATGATATAGTATGTAGAAAGAGCTGTTTTATATGTCATATTTTGTGCTCTTGCATGTCAAACGTGCTTTGAAGGAATCTGGGGCAAGAATCTTGTTTTCATATTGGCTTCTACAGCAAGAGACCTCAGTTTCAAGCTGATTCTTAATTAATATAGCCACCCATCTCACTTTTACGTGATTCCAGGTGACTTACAATAAAACAAATAAAATACATAAAATGCACAATATAAAAAAAAATAATAAAACACATAGCAGCTGGGCATAATCTAACCAATCATCCACACAACCAGGGACAGGCTCTACCCCCATGCCCAGAGCCCCTGGCTCGGGCACGAAGACCCACATGTTCTTTCCTGGGAGGCCTTAACCAGCCAGGAGGGATATGGATCTAACACAAAGGTGGCTACACTAACAGCCCCGAAGACTCTGTCCACTTCCTCAGGCCCAACAGGATCAAACTCTCCCCAGATAACCAAGCTAGACCCAGCCCCAGTAACATCCACAGGGTCTGCATCAAGTCCAGAGTCCAACTTAGAGGGGATCTGATTCACTTATACTATACTGTCTTTAAGATTGCAACCCTTATGTTTGGGCATAAATCCCACTGATTGATCACAGTGAGATTTCTTTCTGAGAAAAGTATGCAGAGAATTGAACTGCATATTGCATGTCTAAAATATGTGAATTAAGCAAATATGCGTTTGAAATCATGTGCACCATAATACAGATATTTTTCATGAAGAATTGATATTGATGGCCAGTCCTTGCCAAGTTTGGTAGCAAACTGAGACTTGTTACCATGGTACATTATATATGAAATGTCTGAAATTAAGATTTTTTTTTCAGATTTCAGGAACAAAGATGAAAGATCTAATGATATGAGCTCTATGAATCTTAGCAAGCATTTATGTTATACACACACACACACAAACATATATTAACATATATAAATAAAAAGAGGGATTTTGTGTTTTGGTTTTATAACTTACGGTGTGGAAATACCTCCCTTATGAATCTTACACAAAAAGGGACACAGGAACCTCCCAGTCTTCCTGCCGCTGTTCGCTAAGAGCGCTTTCCTCCATTTAGTTTTCCTTTCCTCTCTCAGTGTGGATGCAAGGGTTGTGGTCGTGGATTTTGCTCAAGCTGCCTTGGATTCAGTGCTATTGTTCCCCACTGTGGTGACACTCAGCAGAAGGTTTGCAAGCAATGTCACGGGGAGTTAACAAGGTAAGAATAGTACTGAATTCTGATCAAAGTGATGGGTTAACAAAATTACAGAGCTTAGTCAGCAGTGGGTTGCCACTTTAGCACTTCTGTGTATTAGCTGGAATCCATTATTCGTTAGCCTACAATGCTGAAAGGTTCATTCTGGCCGATGAATTCTTCAGAGCTATTTGGCCCAGACTTATTCTCTCATTTTGGGGGGTCTTGTATAAGGTCTGTCAGTTCTCATGATCTTTAAGGTGCCTGACAGCATGTCGGGTAAGGAATGTGGATGGGGTTGTGCAATACACAATACTAATGCACTGTGCAAATTTTTATTAATGTATTTATTTTGCACATATTCTGACTCCCAAGTGCTAGAGGGATAGATCCAGACAAATAAGGTATCCGTAACTAGGCCCAAATGAAGAAATATATCTAAATATATGAGTAAAAAATCACTGGCTATGATAGACTGGAGCACTTGAACAATTTTAGAAAGTGAAATACCGTTTTGGGCAAGAAAATCATTTCAGCTTTGAAACAACATTTAGAAATAAAGTACTATTTGGAATAAGCAAGGCTGTTGCCTGAGTACTTATCCGGTGTTTGAATTTTAATACTGATGGAGTTTCAGACACAAAAACATACATGCAAAAACTCATGAGAAGGGCTCTGTTTATTCATTTTATTGTGTAATAATTTTTCCTTTCATCCTCTGTTTTTTAACTTTCTTATTTTTCTTTTCAGTGGATCATCTCAATCAAATTCAGGTAGATGGTCTCCACCAGAGAATTATAAGAAGTGAGTCCTAATAATCACAGAACTGATTTTGCTCCATGATATTTATATATCTTGTAAAGCAAAGTGTATATATGCGTGATTATGAATCACTAGTGGCCTTAGCCATTAAATAGGTATCTGTTAAATTCCTTTACTTGTTGTAGGATTTGAATTCCTTATGTTGACAAGCAAAAAAAAAAAAAATGTAATGCCTTTCTCAACATAACTAGAGCAGGAGTTTTCAATGATTTTCTGGCTGTGGAGCTTGTTACTTTAAAAGAAAATTCCCAGAACCCCTGATCAAGAAGCAAAGCACTAGTGATAGAAAATTGGCAATGAAATGAAAGTAAACTAAAACATAATATGCGTACGCTGAGGGGTATATATCTAGGGTGAGTGTGACAGTTTAATATTGTGATGCTGAAAAATTATGCAGGAAAATTACCATTTGTGATGTCATCTAGAATGAATCTCTTATGAATGCCTGGATGAAGCCACTTAAGACCCATCTTCTGCCTACCTTTGCAAATGCAATTCTCATGTATGTTTATTCCAGAGAAAGTTCCAATCCGAATGGATTTGAGGCAATGCAATCCTAGGTTTATTAATTCCTACATAGCTCAAGGGGACTTACTCCTAATAGGAATGCCTCCTTGATGATTAAGTAGACCTCTTGGAAACATGTCCATGCATACATACAAATGCAGATTGCAACATGGAGAGCGAAGAAGGAAGGACTCACTGCAGTTGCTCTTGTGCTGCTAAGCAAGTTAGAAATCCTTGGCAGATTTCTGGCTTTCTCTGCTTTCAATTCTCTCAGCTCCCTTTTAGAAAACATGGGCTGCCTGGGAAAATGTTTGGCAGAATTTGGGGGCAAGGGGGATGTCAGAGTTTGTATCTGCATGTGTGGGAAAATAGAAGACTTGAGTAGTGGCTTCTTTGTGGACTGTTCACAAACAGTAATGGTGAAAAATCCAGGCAGTGAGAGGGGAAGAGGCAGCATCAAGTGGAGATGTGATGGGGTGATTGGAGGTGCATTCAAGACCAGGGCATTCCAGTTTTTTCCCCCCGCTTAGTCTCCCATGGAACCCTGCAGAACCCACTTTGAAAAACCCCAATCTAGAGTATGTTTGCTATTAAAATTATCTGTCTTTTTTTTTTACTGGAGTAGCTAGGCTTCTTGTGCATATATGTGCATATACACAAACTTATTGGAATGCAGAATATAACTTCCATTCATTAGTATAGAACTGTTTAATCCTCACCTACTGACTGATTGTTTGATTTATTAATCAGCGGTCAAAGATCAAATTAAAAAGAAAAAATACATATTGGTGATAAGCTGGATTAAAAGAAGGAACAATTGGAATAAAATAACAGGTAAAATAAGTTTTTGAGTAAGATAGAATAAAATATCTCTTTCTTTCTCTCTCTCTCCCTCTAAAACAACAATATTTAAACAGGAAATAGCATCTTTATAAACAAGCAGGTGCTTCAGCCCTAAACAAGGTTGAACCCACTGGCTTTTGAGGGCAGTGGAGCAAAGTTTAGCAACTATCTTAGAAATTTCAGCATAAGTGTACAATCTTGAACTCTGCCCAATCTATACATCCAGCAAAATGAGGGTATATCAGAAGTGATTGCCAATCCTGATACAATCTTCCTCTGAACCTCCTACCTGTAAGGATTGATCCAGTCACTCATGCCTGTAGGTTACTTGATGACTCAGCAGTGCTTTATTTCAGTGAAACATGTGAATGGATTTGGCAAACATCTCTCTGTTTCTATGACTTGCAAGGATCATGCGTAATCTGTCACTTGATGCCCCAGTGAGCAACTTGTGTGTGTGAACCAAGGCTTAGAGAAGCATTTCTGATGATCCTGTTAATTCATGTAAGGACTTCTTTTTGCAGGCGGATTGCAGCTCTGGAAGCCAAGGAAAACCAGCCCCAGAAAACAAGGCCTCAGAAGGGCTTGGTGAAATCTCAGAGCCAGACAGACTCCAGATATCAAGGACTATCAAAGGAGGATCAGATTCTAACAGAGAGACTGGAGAGGCTCAAGAAGGCAGTAAGGCCCAGTGAGTTGCTCATATTTCCATATTGGGGTCTGCTGCAGATAGAACATAAATCAGGGTTCAAGAACAGAATTCTTAATGCTCTGTTTATACATGCAAGCAGAGTAGCTGTCTGGCTCGTGCTCTTGAAATAGTTTCTAAAAGTAGGCAATGTGAGTGATATACCTCAATTTTTGTTTCCATAGTTAATTGGCATCAAGCATGTTAGATTAGGTACATATGTTCTCTTCTCTCTTTTTCTCTCCTTAATCATTGGCTAAGAAGTGCTTAATGTTGTGTTCTTGCTATTCTCTGAGCTTGCTTTTTGTCCTGCAGATGTTTCATTAACGGGCTAGGTAACATCATCAGTACAAGGGGGAGTGGAGAGAACAATGCAGTAGATTATCCATTCACAGGGAGAAGATGAGATGCCCTTTTCTGAGCACCTTGCTACTTAACAGAGATGAGTGTTGATGGGTACATGGGGATGCCAGCTACTGATAGTTCATATCCCTGAAACAACACTGCCAGCTTCTGCATTTTAAAATGTGCTATTTTGTCACTGGTTCATATGTAAAGAAATAAAGTGTCATGCTTCTTTTGGTCACTGTTAGAAATCAATCTGCTTTTAATTGGGCAGAGACTATACCATCCCAGGCGGAGATAGAATCTAGGCTGGCAGCGCTGAAAGCTGACTCTGGAAGACCCGTTCCATCAGCCCAAGAGATGGAGAACCGTCTGGCAACCTTGCAGGGCAGAACACTTCCATCTACAGCACTCAGGCCTGTAAGCTACCATTGCTTAAAAACAGACCTTTCCCAGAGCTTTTCCAGCCAGGGAAAATGATTGAAAATTACCTGGCTGGTTTGATTTTGTGTTCCAGCATTGTATCCAGTTGTGCTCCAAAGGAGCCCCTTGTGAATGAAAAAGGAAGGGAGAGGATATTAACAATTATCCTTTTTTTTATTGCCGCTCCTTATACTACCTCTCATGCTATCCCCCAAAGTCCTATAATTTTCCAGAGCTGATATGAGATGGAGGAGGTGGGGCAAGGCTATAGAAAGAAAAGGAATTCAGCAAAAAAAATACCTTCCCCTCCCCTATCTCTTCACAGTTGGGGTGACCTAGTTCTTGGATGTACAGTCTGAAGCTCTAGGACCAGCTGCAGCTTGGAAAGCTTTGGCTTTAGCATCCCAAGTTTCCCTAAAGTGGCCTCAGATTGCAATGTTCATTAAATATATGGGCAGTAATTGTTTTAACTATATTTAATTTAACTTACTTTTAATTAGATATAGATTTAATTAAAGCAAATTTAATTTTCTGTACCTCTCTTACTTTGGTCAGGTACACCAGGTCTCCAGCAGCAAGACACAGGTCGAGGAGGCAGATGACTTGCTGAACCAGATGGCTGAGGAAGTCACCATTGATGAGAGTGGGGGCTTCAGAATTACATCTCAAGGTTCCTCTTTGGCTTTAATGTGGATTCTTATTCTTAATGTAGAAATGGAAGCAAATAGTCCTGAAATCTCATGCCACAAAATGCCCCTCCACTACTGATCTTGATCAAGGGGCTGCAAAGATGGCCCCTCCAAAGTCCTTGCATTGCTTGCAAAGCCCCTCCCTTATCATCCTGTTCAATTTTGGTGAAGCGTTGACACTAACACCCTATGATTTCTGTTTGTCTTCAGATTTAATTGAGAAAACTTCACTGTTAATCAATGGATGAATCAAATAATTGTTTATCCAGCCTTTGCTTTAAGAAATCCAGCAAAAAAAAAAAAAATCTACCACCTTGTCCTCCATTATCAAACAGCACTTCACTGTCAAAAATATTTTCCTAACATTCATCTGAAATTTGCTTTTCCATAACATGACCATTATTTGGTGCTTGCACTCAGGGATGTTAGAGAATAAATCGTGACCTTCTTCAGTGTGTGACACCTTGTCAGGTACTTGAAAAGTGCTATCATATTCCTTCTCACTCTCATTCCCAATCAAGGCAAAATCTTTCTGTAGACTAAAGGGATTCTTGTTCCCTGCCTTCTTTGACACAGGCACGAGGTTGCCTTTTTGAGTGTTAAAAGGATGAAAAGTCTTAGATCAGTGGCTGACTGGAGATTAGAAAAGCCCTACTCAAGTCTGCATGGGGAAAGACAGAAGAGGCTGGTGGACCAGCTACAAACCTTGTGTGGGCTATATCTAGTCCTCAGATTTGAGTTATCCCATGTCTTTTTAAATCTTAAATTTAAACCTTAATTTTTTTATTATGAGACAACTAGTAATTGAATGACTAAACTGACTCCAGTATGATTACATTATGGCATAATTAAGAGTGTTTGGACTGTGATGCCCTTTATTTTTTGCAAACTATTGTAAGAAATTGTAATGGCTGAGTGTCTGTGGTGCAGATGTGAATTCACTCTACATTTCTGCTTTTCAGAAGTGAGGACACAGAATTTGAATGACTTAAATCAAATAGATGGTACTGCAGGCAGTTCAGATCTGCCTCTCAGGCAGTTGGAGGAGGAGAAAACTAAATTGTTGGCACAGGCTGCTGCTGAACTCAGGGAGGAGAACACCAGGGCGGAAAAGATTTTGGAAGTGGCCAAGCGATTGGCAGTTTTAAAAGGCAAAGATCCTGAGACAGGTGTGTAACAAGAAACATTCAAGTCAGCTGAGGAAGTCTTTAGTTTATTGGAAGACACATCTTGGTTGACAAATAGGAAAATGTCCAAGTCATAATTCTCAAAAGAACTTCTACTTCCTGGTACTAGGATTGTGATTCTTTTAAAAGCAGATAATTAATAGGGGCAGATAGCTGAGAAGTGATGTTAACAGGAACTCTTTGTTTCTTTCACAAGCAAAGCTGTGAAGCCAAAGCTCTCTTTGCTCAAAGGGGCTAGACAAACTGAGTACATTCATGCGGCTTCTCCAGGCCTGGCACCAGCATATGGTACTGTTGAGCAGCTGATGAGCCTTACCAATTTGTCTTCTTTTGTTTTTGCTTTTTAAGATCTGGGTTATGATTTCTGCAGTGATTCTGATATAGTATCAGCCTGGGGCATAGTGATCATTGTGGCACAACTGATTGGTTCACTACTGTTGCTGTTAGAACAGATAAATCTATA